TCAAATAGTTGATGGTAGTACCTGAACTTGTGCAATCTGTATCTAGGTCCTGGCCATATATACTTAGGCGAAGGGAAGGCATGGAAGTTGAAAACTAAAATGTTATCGACAAAACGGTGGAGGAGAAGCGGGGGACTGGTAGGAAGTCTGCTATATTTAAATTCAAGTGAAGACAAAGTGAGGTCGGCAATGTCAGAACTGGCATTGCCACCCGTGGGGACTCCTTTAATTTGGCGAAAAATGTAGCCAGAGAAGCGTACGTGCGGTGCAAAAGTATTCTCAATGGCTTGATAGTGGAATGAGTGGTGGAAGCGATAAAACGGAAGCTATAAGGGTCTTTATGAGACTTAGGTACAGCATAAATTAAAGGGAGAACCTTATTTTTTTCGTCTAGACTAAGTTGGAATGTAAGTAGGAGTTTAGTCGTGGCTAGCAACTATCTGCGAAGCATTATCATGAACAGGAATATAAGTGTCGTTATCGAGGACCTCACCGTTGTCTTTTATGCCGAGTTCTCGACGCAAAGCGTTTGTGTGTAATGCATAGTTACTGGGTGCTTTGTCTACGGGTGTTATAACTAGGCGGTGACGCTGGCGGGAAGCACGACTAAGAAGAAAGGAAGGGCTAATGTTGTGGATAGGACGAGCGTTGATGTAGAAACTTTCTAACAGGCGATGCGCACGGAATAAAGCGTGATCACGATAGGTCTGGACTCGGGCGGGTTCTAGGCTATATTTTCTGGTAAGTAGTTGTGTGTATGCTGAGAAGCTTGTGTCGAATGGTGTAAAACATCAGTAGGGTGTACGTTTCTAGGTAAGCGGTAGTTGCAACCAAGGCTAAAATAATCTTCTAAGAAAGAGTCACTAAAATGCCTGTATCATCAGTAACATGTAACCAAAAGGCGCATAAATGAAGGAGTTAGAGCAGTAGCAATGGGTGAAGGAGGACCGTAGCGTAGTGAGAGCTGAGTCGAGTTCACGTAATAGGGAAATGATTATAAAGTAGGTGGCCAAGAGGAGGATCGTATTTGAAAGTTGCGATGAATCGAGGAATCGACATGCCATCACGTAGGAGTCGGAATGCGCGACTGTGAACGAGCCTGCCATAGCTTATGCCGTCATAAGCAGGGCCAGGATAAGGCATGACGCCATAAAATACTTCTGCACGGCTACTATCCGGTGGTAGAAGCGGTCGTCTAGTGCTAAGGAAGGAACTGAGAATGTGCCAGACAAGGGCTCCGTGCAGATTGGATTTGATTAAAAGTCCAAGTGTGAGTTGAAGGGTGCGATTGCTTTGACCGTGCAGAAGACGTATGAGGGCTTGTATTTCTTGGGCGCTGTCGAAAGGTGGTACAGTGTCAATGAAAGCATTGTTAATGACGGTGGAATTACGACGTCTGCGACCATGTGAGCCTGGCAGGCGAGGTAGAAGAACATGGAAATAAGGGATGAACCTGTGGCTATGTACTGCATCCTGTGTAACAAACTCGAAACCTTAAACATGGTCATTAAGCCCAAGAGGATAAGTGGTCTGCAGCAGACAAGTCCAGTAAAATTCAGCCTTTGTAATCCGACGAACATCATCTGCAGTCTCAAGGACCTAGATAGACATATCACTGTCAGAATGCCCGGCACTGTGAAAGTGGGTGTATAGCACGTTATTGGAGGAATTTTGATTAATACAACGTTTATGTTCATGAGCCCTAACAAGCAGTTCTCGTTGTGCTAACTTGGGAATCAAGAAAGCAACAAGGCTGAAATTTTCAGGGAATGCTCCCAGCACATTTATAACTTAAAGTTACTAAATTCTGCCCCTGTCTATGCGTGATCCTCACGTACGGTCCCGCGAAGCTTTTGGCGGGGGAATGGCTAACTCGAGAATCAGGAAAGCTGAAAAACTGAAATTTTGCTGGAATGTCCCTGTCCAGGTGCAGCGTAATAATTAACTTCCCGAGCTTCGAGCACCAGTGTCTCAGATTTTCTAGCTGGTGGACTTCCGAGCGATCTCATTACAGCACGAAATACTGCAAAAACACATGATCGCACGGGCCCGCTCGAGGAGAGTCGATAATGATTATGCATTTTTTCCATCTAGAAAGCGCAGAAAATGCATGTTGCAGAGAGCTGTACGTGT